ATATATATATATATATATATATATATATATATATATTCATTTGTCAATGCCCTATCTGAACGATACAAAATTGAAATTTGTATCTACAATTGAAAATTAGTCCAAATTTCCACTTAATGATTTATGTTGGACTTAATTCTTTTCCTCCAAAAACTATTATCCCGAAAACATTTAGGCCCAACTTAAATTAAGCCCATAAATATTATTAATAGAAACTGGCCAGGCCCATAATTGAAATGGGCTGTAGCATAATATACACAAACCTAGAGATGTAAACGAGCCGAGCTCGTCAGATTTTTCGAGCTCGAGTTCCGCTTATTTTATATTTTATATTTTTATTTTTCTAATTTTTAAATAATATTTGTTTTAGTTTATATTATAAATTATTTCTATGAAATATAAAAAGTTATAAAATAAAAAATAAATCTATATATATATATAAATTAAGCTTGCGAGCAGGCTCGTGAACAACTAAAGATGGGCTCGAACTCGAGCTTTAGTCTAGCCGCCTCATCGAGTTCATTTAACCCCTACCTAAACCTATCTAACATTGTAATTTGAAAAAGAAAAATATTGGCGAGTCTAATTAATAAACTTGGAAAATAATAATATATATTTTTTAATTTTTTTATTTTATATTTTGGTAGTTGTGGTCGGCTGTGCAGCATAGTAAATATTTAGGAACAAAAGATTGGCAAAGTCAAAAAAAATGAAAGTTGGAAAAATGAAGAGTCTATTCAAATGGTACAAAAATGTTGGTCGGTGGATTCATTAAGAAGACAGTAATTGTGAGTTGCTTCCATCAAATAATTTCACTAGGCTTTTTATCAAAGTCAACAATAATAATAATATTTCACATTTATTTATTTACATTATGTAGTCAGTAATAAATGACTTGTAGTTGGAGTATACAATTATTTATTTTTAAACAAAATAATACTCCTACTTAATAATTTTATTTTTTTATTATATATCCATTTGCTTGTAAATCAAGTCAAATGATGCACCTTTGACTTTTTTTACATGTGATTGGAGGTATTTGATAATGTAGTGTAGTGGTGAAGTATTCATTGGTCACATCTATTAAAAATGTATTATATCGAATTTCTTCAAATCTTTTCTTATTATCAATAATAATATTAACAAAAATTAAAAATCTTATAAGTGATGAGTTTTTAGGGGGTAGTTTGCCAAAATAATAGAATCAAGGGGGATTTTGCTAATTAGTGAAAATAACATGTATGGTGTTTTTAACAATTAAAGCAAATGTAGAGGTGCTCAATGCTATGGAAAGTATATAGGGGGTGCAAGTTGGAACGCAATTTGCAATTTTTGCCGACCTCAATCTGAAAAATTCTGATTTTGGAATCACTTTTTTCATTCCGCTTTCCGATACTTTTGTTTTTTTGGATTGAAATTGGAATGATGTAAAGAATATTTAGAACTTTCGATCCGATTTAATTTCCAAAAAGTTCTATTTCGATCCGTTTGATCCGACTTTCACCCCTAGAAGTATATGTAGACTCACTACAATATGATGAAATTGAAAGACCAGACATCATAAATAGGGAACAACTTTTTAATCAAAATTAATAATTGAATTTAAAATGTTAAACAGAGTGAACAAAGTACTCACTCCGTAATTGTCGTTTTTCGACTTTGCACAAGTTTTAAGTATGTCAATAAATTTATCTTGTTTTTAGGAAACACGCATTAGAAAGACTAAAATAACCTTAATCATAATGATGTGATAAGAGAGAGTTGATGCTTAAAGTTTAATAAATAAAGTTAAAATAGGAAAAAATACATTTAAAGAAGCATTCGAAATCTAAACTGACAGATAATATAAAACGAGAAGAACGGTCGGAAAAAACACAGTATATTCACTATTTCAAATTTACCAATTTACAACACCCTTAGGCGGTATAATTTCAAAGGATCACTAGGAAAATACAAAGAATTATTCCATCTTGAGAGAAAATAACCTAAAAATTAAAAATCACCCAATAAAAAAAATAAAATTAAAAACAAAAATAATATACCATTCTCTTCAAGGACACCTGGAATTTTTCCCTGGTCCTCCATAATAAAAATAATTTCCCCAAACCTTATTAACCCCGCCTTGTATATCGTAACAATTCGGATGGTCCGCCAAAACTCGAAGATTCGATAAAGGGACTAAACTATTATCCCAGTCAACAACTTGGAGATTTCTGAAATAAGATGCTTTTCCAAACCCTTCTCCTGCAAAATGCCCACTCCCCATTTGTGTTTGCGTGTGACCCCCCGAACTTTGGCTATTAACAATTTCACCCCCAAATTGGACCATACTCGCGTGATCCCTTAGATGTGTAAATAAAAAAGATGGCCAATAACCAACTAAGATTCCGTTTCCGAATTCTAGCCACCAATTCCCGTGCTTCGGATCCTGTTAAATTACAAAAAAACCACTCAATAAAAATCGTAGACATTATTTTTTGTAAGCAGATATTGAGAGGGTGTTTTTGTAAAAATAAAGATTTTGTGTAAATATAGTAAGTAGGGTAATAATATAAGTGTGGGAATAATGAGAACTAGCACATGGGTGTAGGACTGAAATGATAAATAAAGAAAGTGGATGGGTTAGATGAGAAATATATTTGCTTGGTAAAGAAGCGTGGAAAGAATCTTAGAAAGCACAAAAGGCAATAAAGGAAAAATAATTGTGTCCATAGAGTAATTACTAAAACTATAATGTAAAATAAATAAAATACATTATTGTATCTATAATGCGTACGTTAGCAGTTAGCTACATGTATGATGAAAGTTTATTACCTCCAAAACACCCTTTTCTTTCCCACCCACCAAATCTTATTTCCCAAACCCAATAAAGAAATTATTTTTTTTTTAAATAATTATTTCTTTCTTTTATTTATTTTTTTAAAAAGCAAAAAATGAGTAATTATGAATTAATGGATTAATTAATTACCTTCCAAATTAATAAGCTAATATCAAATTGACCACCATTATATGAAGAAGTAGGAGAAATTGCTGCACCAATTGCTATTCTATTGTTTGTCTGAACAAATCCTGAGCACAGCAAATTGTAACAGCCTGTTGCTTGATATGCATCACTCTGTATAATATCAACATTAATTAATTAAAATAATAATCAAGTGGGATTATAATTAATTATTATTAGCTATCATAATCATCATCTGCATGCCTGTGTTGAATAAAATGATTAAAATTAAAGTCAACTAAAAAATATTAAATCAAAAATTACTTACAGTCCAGTATGTGAAGAATCTGGGATAATTATCTCCATATAGCTCTGGGCTAACCTGTTGGAAAAAAAATTAATTAATTTAAATTAGGCCATAATTAATTAAATTAAATTAAAATTAAATTCTAATTAATTAATTAAAAAAAAAAAAAAAAACCTGCCAACCAGCTTCAATGGTGTTGAGATCATCACCAAAAGAACCAGCTATAACCCACATTTGAGATAAACTGAATTCAAATTGATTTGAAACCCTAGGTGCCCACACATTAATACTTGCTTTTGCTCCATAGTATTCATCTCCACTCACATATCCAACAGCATGCTGCAAACAAAACAAAAATTAAATTGAATTAATCAGACATGAATTTTTTTTCAAGAAAATCAGACAATGTAAACAAGAACGTAATTAAGTAACTAATTATTAATTAATTACCTCGTGGCCGTTTGTGGAAGAATCTCTGCGAATAGGGTTTCGGAGTTTCTTGCCGAATCTTTTAACATTGCTTGCTCTGAGAAAATCTTTTTCAGATGTTCTTCTAATTGGAACAGTGCCTTGTGGGCAGAATTCATTTGACATGCTCCAGATTTGTGAATTCTCTTCGAACATTCTTGTTCTTGGTAACTGTCCGTTTGGCCTGTCTGGTGGATCCTGTAATAAATTCAAGACTCCATTTTTATTTTCTTCAAGTTCAAAAAAAAAAGATTAAAGATTGGATTTTTAATATTTTTTTTGGTTTACCAGTGGCTTTTGTCCTATTAGTTGGGGATGATCAAAGGCTGGTTGTTGATGAGATAACACACAATCTATGATATCGCCATCTGGGCTCTACTTAAAACAAAACAGACAAAACAAAAATAGATGATTAGACACTAAAAACAGGACAAAAAGCAGAGGTTTTTTTAATTAATAACAGGACAAAAAAAATCAAGAATGAAGAGATTATTTCACCTGAATTGTCTTAACAGGGGGCTTATTGATCTTGGTGAGATGGGCTTTGATAAACTTCAACTTCTTCGACTCGTCGACCGGTCGGAACTTCTGATGGGTGTCGTTGAAATTCACCGACGATCGAACCGGGAAAACGGAGGAGATGAAAAACAGGAAGAAGACAATGATTGGAGATATATTGCAGCAGAAAGCAGCCATCTTTAGTTTTCTTGGAGGGTTTTCTTGAATCTTCTTCCTTAAACTCTTAACACAAAAGATGTCTTTTTTTGTGTGTGTGTGTGTGTGTGTGTTTACATTAGTAGTTGTTGCTGTCTGCTTCTGTGATCCAAACAGCAGAAAGTCTTCTCAGAATTTGCAAATTCTAAATTCAGACAGCAGTACATAATCTCCATTCTAAGCAAACAACAACAGCTCACTGTAGTCTCAGCATTTTTTCCAACTTAAAAAAAAAAAAAGATAAAATAAAGAAATACTAATAGAGCACTTCTTGTGTATATTTTAGTGCTTCTCCCTAAGCTTCTATGCTCTGGTTTTTTGTAATATATTTCTGACAAATGTATAACTTCTAGGCTGAGGTAATTGTAAAAGAATTATGATGTGTGTGGAATTTTTAGAGTTTTTGCCCATGTGGAGATGAGGATATAAATATGGAGGTACTTCTTACCAATAACTGATTATTATAATTTTCTTTAAATTTTTTTTTTTTAATTTATTTAAATGAATGTGAAATGTAGCAATTAAATGAGGGGAGTGTGTGTGTGTGTGTGTGTTTGTGTGTGTGTTTCCAGTCTCCAATACAAAGACTGGAAACTTTAACTTTTTTTGTGTCAAATATATTTTAATTATTAGATATATATATTTATTTAATTTAAATTAAATTAAATAGGGTTGTGTGTGAAATGTAGCAATGAGTAGTGGTTTGTATAATTAAAATTATTAATATTCTTTACTTTGGATTTGAGGAGAGATGGGAATTACAGTTGAGTCTGTGTTTCCAAAGTTACTACCTTTGATGTTTCTCTTTCTCACTTCCCTAGATGTTCTTTATGTCAGCTGCCCCTCTATTTATTCCCCTTTTTTTTTTAAATTTTTTTTTTAATTTTAAGATTTTCCAGAATTAATTAACAAATTAAATGAAATATTAGAGTGAATTATTTACTGTTTAATTACTGGATTATGTGAATAAAATAATATACTATTTCTTGAAGCTGGCATTTTTTTTCTGTATTGAGAAGCAAAAATATTGATGTACTGTGTGTTTGTGGCATGCGCATGGTTATTTGCACTGCGTGCTTATACAACCATCTATGCATGTGCATGCGCATTTCTTTCTTTTTTTTTTTTTAATTTATTATTATTGTTGGTAATGGATTTTTTTTAGTATTAAATTATTAATGTATGTATGGATTATATATGATATACAAACACTACAAGAATTTATTTGAAATGGTGAATTGGTGACGGTGATTTGCACAACTTAAAAAATTTAGCACAAAATATGTATATCATGTAATTTTACAATGAAATTTTAGTAATTAGACTACTTAGAAAGTTTATTTACATAGTTTAGTTACACAATTTAACACCACTAATTATTAGTTTTTATTGTTGATCCAAATTACACGTTTTGCATTTCAATTATTATTATTATTATTATTATTATTATTATTATTATTATTATTATTATTATTATTATTATTATTATTATTATTTCTTCCCCTTCGACCACGACGACTAAAACGACGTATTATTATTAATATATATTTGGCTACAATTTCATTTTCTACCCAATATATATACATAAATTAATTAATTAATTAAAAAAAAAACATGCTACATTATGAAATCATGTTGGAGAGGATCAAAGTAGACAGAAATTCCTTTGAAAGCTGTTTGTTTGATTGAAAAGCTGCAAAAAGGCTTAGGTTTGCTTTAGGCCTAAGAGGGGACAACATATGGAATTTTCTTTTATTAAATGACAAAAGTGCCATTTTCTAATTATGAGTCCATGTGTTATACTATAATTTAAATTCAAAATTCTACATTAATAACATTTAAAAAAAATCTAATTAATTATTTACATTACCCTTATTTCAATTGTTTTGAGTAAGACATATATTTGAAATTTGTAGCAAACTATGTTGTCTTCCTCTCTTTTACAGTAGGAATGCTGTGATAAGAAAAGCTGAATTTTCAGGGACATGTCTGTAAATATAGCACAACAAAACAAATCAAGACAGCATTATTTTTTTTTTTTTTTTTATATTTATATATTAGTGTTTCATGGTCCCTAAAATGCCAGAAATAGAGTGATTTCCAATTGTATGTAACAGAGTATAATTCTTTATCATATATATGACATATGATACTTACAAAAAATGTGTGTTTAGATTGGTCCGGATTCAGTATAGAGAGTACAGAGATTTTGTATCCAAATCTTGCAATTATTTAATTAGTAAATTATATATTAATTAATTGAATTTGCTAATTGCTAGATATAATCTTAAGCTTGTACTATAATAATATATAGCATGATTAAATTTTAATTGGGGTTTGCCCCACCGGTAATCGAATTGTCTCCGGCGTGACAAAAAAGGATGTTAATCAAGAAGAGGATTTTTCGTTTTAGTAGGGAATTACTTGTGTGTTTTGGTAGCATTAAATAAATAAATTATTTTTTTTTTTTTTCGAATTTTATAGATTTTGATTTAAGTAAATAAATAAAATTAATTGGTCTCAGGAAAAGCGCAAACACTTATCCTTATATAGTGCATTCAGCATACACAAACATCCACGATATTCGATTGTGGATCGTCTATACTCATACCTCCCCACGTGGACAATTGCTACAAAAACCTAACAATATATATATTATTTATTTTTATTATATGTGGAATAAACATAATTTTTGAATTAAACCAATATATTCCGATCTGTTTTTTTTTTTTTGAAAATGAAAACTCGGACCTAATTTGTCAAATTTCCACTCTTTTTATAACAAATACAAAAAAAAAAAAAAAAAAAAAAAACAAAAAAACAAAATATAATTAATTGTCAATATTGTTTAATTCACTTGCAACAAAACCAATCATAATGATTATATGTTGAGCGCGTGAAGGTATGGAGAAAAAAAAAAAAGGAAAAACAAAAAAAAAAAATAGAAGGGTCCATATTTTGGGCCCAAATATAGAATGAAAATATGGGCTTTCTCGTTTGACCCGACCACCTTTTCCCATGCCTAAGGTTTTCACTCATAATAATGCTTAGCTAATTAATTTGTTCTTACAATAATATTCATTATAAAAGAAATATAAGTATTTTTAATATATGTTAAAGTTGTTAACAAACACATTAGTTTTGTGAAAAGTATGTGTAATTATTATTATAAGCACTAAAAAAATATATGAGATGCTACGTCTGATGAAAAACATTGGATGATTTTGCACTATAGATCTATATAAATAATTAGAGTTAATTGCATACAACCCCCTGTGAAAAGTCTAATTGCCGGAAAAACCCCTATGTTAAAACAATTAGCATTTACCCCCCCATGATGAATTTTATTTAGCCCACCACCCCCTATTCGAAAAAGAAATGTTGACTATAATGAAATGACTATATTACCCTTATAAAAATATGCTATATTACCTTTTATTTTAGTAATTATTAAAAAAAATATTAAAAAATATTTAAAATAAAAAATATATAAAAAAATAACAAAATAATTATTTTTATAAATTTATAAACAAAAAAGATAATGCAAAATGTATATATACTAAATATAAAATAATAAAAAGAGAAAAGAAATTAAATAAGTCATCTTCTTCAACAGCACCACCGTGCACCCACCTCCAACAGCAACCACCAACACATCCTGTTCCTCCTCCACAATCCAACATCTTCGTTGCCTCTGACCTATGCTCCGCAACGGTTTGAATCGGTTCCTCTCCGAGCCACATCAATTTCCTCCATTTCTCTCTCCCCGACCAAGAATTGAAGTCTGGAGATGGAAATTAGAGACGATACCTTTGTCGTCGGCGGCTACGGCTTCGTAGATGTCCTCTCGACATCCACCTCAAAACCAATGCTAAATTCAAACAAAAATCTCCCCAAATCGGCAGCCCATTGTCGGTGTTATGGGCACCATCTCCTCCCCACCCAATCCAACACCTCTTACGGTTGTATAAGGCGGCGGCGGCGGCGCCCCCACCTCGAATGAATGACCGACGAGAAGAAAACAATCTGACAACCCGGATTCTTGATACCCGAAGCCCCGACTTGTGGTAACGGATGGTTGATTTGGAGAAGAGGGCTTTTTGAAAATGTTAAGGACTAAATTGAAAGATGGATCTTTTATTGGGTGAATCTGTAATTTAAAAAATAAAACAATTGAAAGGGTATTTTAGTATTTTCCCGTCAAAAAATACGCTCCCAGTTGCATAATCAGCGAGTGTAACACACGATCAGCTCACAGGGGGTTTATTGGCTCTGACTTCTGATCATAGGGGGGTATATGTTAATTTTTTTAACACGGGGTCTTTTCCGGCAATTAGACATATCACAGGGGTGCCGCTTGCTAAAAACTCTAAATAATTACATACTGAGCACACATACACATGGGTATGTGTGTGCAAATTAATGGTGCAAAATCGTCCGCTGCATTTCACCGGGTGTATGTAGCATCTACAAAAGCGTAAGGGTAACTTAATTAAGATCAAGACATACCCTTACTCAATCTGTTTCACAATATATGTCACTATAAAGAGTTTTTTTCGTTCAAATTACCTGTCACTTTAGAATTCAATAGTGCATTAATAGTAAATAAGTGAATGTTGGTATAATAATATCTATTTTTTTTTTTTTTTTTCTAAAATCAAGACATATTTATTATTTTTTTCAAAACTTGTTCGAATACGGAAAACAACACGTATTTAAGAACAAAGTGAATACTAAATATGCATCTCACTTTTGTTATGTGGATTGATTCATATTCTTGCAGATAGCATTTCCTAAGAGTGAGGATAACATGTAAAATTCCAAACTCCAACCATGAAATTGGAATAAAATAATATTTTATATAGCTAACAATATATTGATTGACTAATTAAAATGATGATAAGATCATATACTTTTTAGGGTTTGGACCAAAACCAATGGACTACAAATTTTTGGAAGCGAATATTTCTAATTCTAGAGACTATTCTGCACGATTAACAAGTTGGAATCAAATGCCATTTCACTTTCAAATCGAATAAATTGTAATATTAAGTGAACGATATACATTAATAGTGCTTTAAAGAACACTACAATCACTTCAAAATTGCAATAGTCCACTTCCACATAATAACAATGCGCGGTGAAATCTATGCAACATTCGATAAATGCATCGTATAGGGGATAAGGTCTTCGATCCCTTTCCTCTATATACAACAAATCGATGTATATAGTTCGTATATGTAAATGAATGGTGACGATATAGTCAGATATATACAGAGTGCAGACGAACAGTGTAATATTAAATAAACTGGTGTTAAGCAATCATTATGTCCCAACTTTGAATTCAGCTTTTTCGTATACAAAAATCATGATAACACCTAGCCACTGAGTGATCCATCCCCCAAAAAAAAAAATATAAATAAATAATTTTGGTTTTTTAAACTAGCAAAGTATGGTCCAAAGTAAAGATTATTCCTAATTATGATTGCAAGAAGGGTGTGGGTATATATATATATGTATATATATATGGAAACGAAGAATGAGTGTTTGGTTGGTCCTGCACATTATATTGTTGCTTTTGGCTGGTGGCATCATGGCATATGCTACCTACATAATCATCATCATCCATGATCATGTTCCTAACTTATTTGGTCAACGCAATTATCTTCTTCTTCTGTGGCACTAATCATCCTCGTATTCAGAAAAAAAAAAATAAAAAAAATCATTTGCTTGATTCAATCGAGACCGTTAAAAAATCTTAGCTCTCTCTCTTCTCGCCGTACCACCATATTGAATTCTCATTGGAATTTTCTGGGGTTGTACTACTTTTGCTCTCTATTTTGGAGACAATTCGTCTATATAGTAAACCATTTAGAGAGAGAGAGAGAGGGGTAGTGACATACAAACTCGAATCTCTTTCGAGTTTTAGATCTCAACCCTTGTTTGTGAGAACAAGATCCACTTTTAAGTACGTGAAACAACAGAGTGAGTTGACCTAATCTGCGTGATTCTAATCTGAGAAAAGGGTTCCGGTGTATGTTTGGTTGTTGGTGTCACCGCCGGTACATATGTGGACAAGAAATCATACTAGTGAACAATGTTACATGAATTGCTGATATATAGTTTTATTTCCAAATTCCAATGATGATTGATTAATAAATGCAGTGAGGGTATTTATGCAATGCATAAATAGTAGTACTTGTACACGCAATTATTATTATTATTTTCTAGATAATACTACCTCGACTCGACTCTTTAATTATAGGCCACACAACCTAAATCATCAGCCAAACTTTATAGCAGATGCTTGATGGTTGGGTTTCCATAATAGAGATACCATATGCCAATGATTATGAATCATCACATTTGAGGCCTTGTTTGGACAACATAAATTTTGCCGTCCTTCACAACACCTTCAATGTCCTGAGCAGACCCGTATAGTTCCTCGATCGCACTTCCAGCACGTGCTATGCTGGACAGAATTTCATGACGGAACTTACTATCGTTGATCAATGCATCAGATGAGTAATCAAGCACGACTTTGTCCTCTTCGTCCATTGGGACACTGCAACATTAGAAACAATAATTACTTCAGATGATCCCATGCAATGGAAATAAATATTTTTTGTCGAGTTAAATTAAGTTTGCTTGCTCTTTAACAAAAAGTGTACTTCTATTTGGCAAAACCGATAACAGCTATGAAAAGAGTAAAGTTGAATTTTCTTCTAAACATTACCTGTCGTAAAGCCCAGCACCAGCATAACCTTCTAGATCTTCACCGTTTGAATCTGATCGGAAAATTATGGACTGCCTTATGAAAAGGCCAATGGGTTTGCTGGGGTAACCCAAAACCTACAAAGGTTTCAAGGAAGTTTCAACAGTCAATAAATTGTCGCCATACGAACTACATGAATGAATAATTATAAGATCACAATTTCGCCAGCTAGATTGTTTGAAAATCTATTTCAAAAAAAAAAAAAAAGATTGTTTGAAAATCATCGCTGTATTGTGTCATCTAAAAGAAGACATATCCAGATGTAGCTTCAAACCTGAGGAGAGTTAAGGTCACTTTTCTTGCAGATAAAGCTCAACGCACGACCTGGATAAGCTCCCACTAGTGTCTCTCCAAGCCCCTTGACAACCTATTCAAGAAACACACAAAATCAAGCATTACCTTATTAAAAAAAAAAAATTAAACACAAGTTCCTGCAGCAGGAGGTCATCTAATGAACTGATTTTCATCTTAATCAATTAACCAGCTATGGATTATTTTTACGTACATTGGATGTATGTGGTTATTCTTAGTAGATGATGAATTATGTCCCTCGCATTCATCGGTATTTTTTAAAAGTCGATATTGAGTGAAACAGGAATGTCACATATGTACCTCGGCATATATTTCTGATGAATCCTCAGAAGATGGATTAGTGGTGTGGATAACAAATGCATAATCAGCATTTATTATTTCTTGGACAAGGACAGCCATGCAAAGATAGTCGTGATCGAGTTTCACTTTTCTTGTGCTGAAGTATGCCCTCTCGTTCCATTTTGATGCCCATACCTTCTTTATGGCAATCCATGCTTGTTCCCATCTCTGTGCACCTTCATCGCCAGGCCAAGGCATCCCAGATTTTTGCATCTTCTCTTTAAGCTCTTTAATCTGGGACAAGGTTACTCATGTAAGATACAGCTGCCGTTGGTGTCCGAAAATGATTCACTTTCTCAACATTGCCAAGTTTTTAATCCTATTCGTCTTTGCACCAAATAATAGTTTACTCTGGGTTAATTGTAGGTTTAGACTCTAGACCCTGGATTTTTATACAGAACTTTTGAGTAATAAAATTTCAACATTACTGGGAGAAATATTTCCAAGCAAAAGTAAAAAACACAAAGTATATGTGTATCTCCATCTTATATATCACAAATGCATAAATCAGGAAATAAATGAAGCTGCCAAAAGGAGACGTACCAACTGTGGCGGGGCTGAAAGTTCTAAAACGGTGTTTCGTATTTCACCAAGTGCACCGACGTTTCCTTCATCTAAATCTCTCTTCAAAATGTCCAACTTACTTGCCACAGCCTGAAAAACAGTTTCGAGTTATATAACAACTCAAAAGATATATTGACTAAGTTCGCATGTTTCAGTAGCCTGAAATGAAGTCTCCTTTTAGATGCACCAGATTTTATTTTACAAGATACTCAATTCTCATAGACACTAATCCCCCATACTTTGCAAACTAGATGAGGGGCAGACATATTAGTTTCAACCAACTATGGCTTTAATTTGAAACAGTCGAATTTCTTTAAATCTCATATTTTTGCTCAAGGAAGAGCCGCCGAGCACCTCATACAGAACCAATGGAACTTCTACAAGCAAGGTGAGGCTTATTCCAACATTCAGATTTAGTGAGAAGGACACTATATTATTAGAAAGTATGTATTCTTTGAAAAAACTGAAGTTGAGGGTATCAGGTGGGCAATGTAAATAAAATGGAAATGCATGAGAATGTATGTCGAAAAAGAGTATTACCTTGTTTAAATCATCTGAAAGGACTGTCTCGAAAACACCAAATGGCAAGGCGACAGAAGTTGGAATATTAACCCAAGATGGAAGTTTTCCTTTAAGGTTTGCAATATTGCGTGATTTGGCTCCAACCTGGACAAATTTAAGTCATGCACTTCATATAAGCTTAACAGATGCAAATTTAATCGCCAAAGTAACTTTTTCCTCTAAGACTCTAATGTATAGGAACATGGAATTAGAAGGCAGGAAACAGAAACAGAGGAACTTCTCAACTATCAGATGAAAATAAGAGTCTGACCATATCGTTTGTAAATTCCTCCGATGAGATTGCATATCTTCCAGAAAACTTCTTTTTAACTAAAGTCAGAGATGGCGCTGATGAAACATCATCCTTTGAGTTAGTTGAACTTAAGAGTTCATCATCTGTCATCTCGCTACAATGATATTGCAAAAAGTAAGCATCAATGTCCACCTTCACATAATATGAATTATGCAGTCTTAAGTTTAGGTTTCTATGAAACATGTGAACAAAGGAAGATAATAACTGAAATACCACTGTTTTGTTTTATATTTTGCGCAATTTGGTATATCCTGAAATTACCTGTATACCACATCTGCAGATGTAGGTTTTAAGCACAATAACTTTCCTTCACTTGCCTGGATACTGGCCAATATATTGGGATCAAAACATGTGGCGAAACAAACCTACAAAAATGAGAAAAATATTCGGTATGTTACTAGATATTCTAGATCTGAACAATCATGCTAGGTGATTAAAAAAGGTATTAGAAAACAACCTTACTATTCCTTGCCCGAACAGAAACATGGGACAAAACATCAGGCATGTCTGGGGTAAGTACCGCTACTACACCATCAGGAATTTCTTCCTCTCCTCTCACCGATTTTGCCACCAATATTGTTGGTTTTGAGTAAGAATTATTCTGAACGGAAAGCAACTGATCAACCACAACAACATAACCAATAGCTTCGATGGGACTGATAACCTGCCAACTGTTTCGGAACATTAAACATGTATCAGTAAACTACTCATATCAAATAGACTTCAAAAACTGTGTTTTCTTGTATCCATGCAATAGCACAAGTAACCCAAATACTCGGATCGAGAAAAAAGTGGATTCTTGGCACTGCGATTCTTGAAGAATCACACTAATCACAAAGTACTTGAATCGATTCATCTAAATTAAGAATTATATTTTTTTCTAAAAGTAATGAAATTATATCAACCTTCCGAGATTAGCAGTTTGCCGAAGAACCGGATCAAGTCGATTAAGAAGGGAGGACAATGAAGCAGCTGATCCAGCTCGAATAATTTCTTCAGTAAATATACTGACCTGCATGGGTTAATTACAGATGTTGCCTTTAAAAAGTAAGGGGAGAAGGTGCTAAAAATGACTACAAGGTTTCCATGATAACATACTGCTGACTGATCCACCCCGAGCTGCGCGCCTAGATACTCTGCCGATGGTTGCAGTAGTTGATTGTATGACTCCGACTTACTTGTAAGTGAAAGCCGAGTCCTGTCGAGGACTGATTTCGCAAACAATGCCCAGTTACCATCTCCACTCTTTTTCATGCTTAGAGCTTGATTCCAGCCCTTGGTAAAAAAGGGAAACAATTATCAGCTAATGAAATTTTCTGTTAACTGGAAAAGACACCTATATACAATAACAATAATGATATTGCTCGCCAATGACGCAATGAAAATCATTAGTTCATCTGCCTACTCCTGTTTTTTCCTTCTAGCTTCATGTCAATTGTTCTTTCTCTTATCACTCTATAATTAGTTCGATATATATCATCTCCAGTTACACTAAATTAAAGTCAGAGATTGCAGATACGTGGTTTATAAGTTTTCTCATCTCTAATCAACTTACTCAGACCATATATGAGCTCAAAACTGGTCATGGCAGAAGTGAAAGAAAAGACAAGCTACTCGCTCTTATTTTCCTAAGATAATTAAAAATCCCATTATAATGTAATTCTGGGTGAAATTTGCAGGTTAAAATTACTTTTCAATAGTGTTTTATCTAGTACATGCCTTGGTTGAGTATGCTACTTGGGACTGCTACCCAATTACTAAGCTTGAAGTTGAAATTTCGTTGTTTTTCTTCAGGGTACCCCTGAAAGTTGTAGCTAGGTTCTAACTGTTTGATGTACCTTTTCCTTTCTCTGAACTTAAACAAGTACATTACCTACAGAAAAACTATCCTATTCCTCAATTGCCTAAAAATTTCAAATGAACCCCTATGTAGAATATGTTATCATGATAAAAGTTACAGGGGGGTCTGCAGATAATCTCATGCACATAATAAGGATCCATAAAAAATATTGCTAAGCAGCTGTAAATCAGAAATCTGAAAAGAATATGGCACTATGGTTTCATTGAAGCTTACCTTTAAGCAATAAATGAGATCTTCATTATTGTCCACTGAAAGTGCAAGGTTTTCAACAACAAGGGAGATGAAGTATATGATTTTCTGCAGAAATTAAGAAACATGTTATGTCGAAAAGAATCCATAAAAGGAGGAGAATTTGATTCACAAAAATGTACTTGAAGATAGTTATAATTATCAAAGCATATACAGACACAAATCAGAGTTGAAGCATACCTCAGGACTTGCATTATTCAGTTCTTCGTATCCACGCTCTACAGCTGTTCTCACTGCAGAGTCGAGGGCAATGTCAAGGAATATAAGATCCTTAAGACGGTCACTTGGCCGGGACAGTGATGGTCTAAGCTCTTCCCGAGCCTCTAGCAATCCCTGAGAATAAGAACCATTTCCCACTAACAAACTCAATATGCTTTGATAAGTTTTCATATTATGGGATCGGGGGAGAGAACCACAAAATTTTGATATACCTCAAGAAGGGATTCTACTTGTTTATCTTCAATGTGTGTCAGAACAAACTGAAGTAGTTCCTGTTCCCAAATATAACTAATTAAGAAAATATTGCAATATTTGTTTATTCGAAGGGTCTTTTAATATTGAAGAATATGAATTACAGGAAATCCCGATGGCAAGCCAGATACTGGATTTATATTCACCCCGACCATAAAACCTTGTCCCTGATAGAAATTAATGACTGCTTAGATGAGTTACAAAGAAAGGAAAACAAGTTGCTAAAGAATTACATTAAGAGAAATTACCTCAGCTTTGTAGCCCATGCAATTTGCAATGGCAGACTCAAGGTCAGCACCTGAATGAACCGCCTGCATTTTTTTTTTGAAAAAAGAAGAGAAGAAAAGTAAGATATGAATGAGTAAGGAGGAAAATGCTCTCATCAAGAATCTTTAGCTGTTCAAGATATCAGACAAAAAGAAGGAATTATCTAACTTCAAAATTTATCCAAAACATAACTTCTAGTAAAGCTGTTCAGAAAATCTATCATGTTAGCTCCTCTAGCCAATAAAGACTATCAAAATACCCCTCTGCAGGCATTTTTTGCGATCAATGTTCTAACCTTCAATGTTCGCATGTAATGTCCAAGATCACGCAGAAGTCCGTCCCTTTGTTCACGTCTAAAATTTGGTTCAGAATGGATTGCACGGTCATAACTAAGAAGTCGCTCTTTAGTTATTCCATTATCATTTAAGGTCTTCCAATAAACACCAATATCAAAGTCATTCTTGATATAGTCAATCAATGCCTGCAACAGAGACGCATGATATAATTATATATCAATGCCTGCAACAGATGGAATGTGAATATAATTGTATATCAATGCCCACAAATGATGGAAATATGATTAGAGATACATATGAATGCCTGCAACAGATGAAAGTAGAATTATATGCAGCAACCTATTTACATAAAGATAAACATTCAAATCAGCCAAGATTGTTCATTGATATTATGAATACCTGACAGATTACTACATCATCAGGACTAGTGTTATTGTGTAGCTTTTGATGCCATTCCTCCATCATTCCGCCCTTGCATTCATTGTTTCTCTGAGATCGAATAGAAACCAACGCAACGTTATCAAATTCGAATCTCCACAAATCGAAAGGTAGGATACAAGTTGAATACTTAAGAAAAAGACCTGTATGACTAATATTTCGTCCCTTATCCGTTGCCCAACATCTCCTTCACCTCCACGACCAACAGTTGACATAATCATACGCAAAATTTCACGATACTGTGGGGAACTTTTGTAGACATTCTGTAGCAAGTCCGTAAGCCTGTCCTGGGCCTGGCTAATCTCTCTGTGCCACAGGTATCAAAGCAACCAATTAGAATGAACAAATTACTCGTACTAGAAAAACAACACTAGTGAAACAGGCTGATGAGCTTTCTTCTTCAAAAACATTTGAGAAAATAAATATTGTTAGAGATTAAACTGTTTGTAAAATCCATATGCAATACTGCTATGAAGAACAGAAAGTTATGATGCAAATTTCCAGGTGTGAAAAATACATCTCAAAAGCAAAAAAAAAAAAAGCATCTTACCGTGGTTTTACATTGTAATTTTTGTTCCAAATCAGTTGTCTTGTGGCCATATATCTCATCCACACAACAATCGCAGCAAGCCCCAGTTCACCAGCATTAGTTGCTTGCTCCATCAAGTCTGCTGCGATATTGAATCTGCAGAATACAGTTTCAAGTTGTTCTTATAATGTAACACACTAAATCATCTAGACCCTAGAACTTGAAACATGTGATGAGCCCACAAACATATTCAATGGTATCTCAACACATTAACGGGTCTATTTTCATGGGAAATAGACAGCGAGTTCGGAATTTTATCCTCTACACCAGGTACTGAAATTATGTTTGAGATGTCCAAGCTAGGGGCCACACATGTCGATTTCCAAAATAGCATGCATGGTAATGTTTAAATATAAGTTTCTCTTGCAGTTATGTGAGCTCAGCCCAATTTGAAGTGCATATACAAAATTAAAGAGGCAGGCATTATTAAGGTTCCTGAAATCTGTATCGTATATGTCTCAGCTGATGTTACAAGTCCAAGCCCCAAAAACCAGACGACAATGACGACCTCTCTATGTTGCAGTTACACGCTTTAAATAATCACAATATTAGAAAGTTATAATGCTAAATGCGGAATAAGGAACTTTACAAGGTCAAAAATAAAGCATCTATCATATTTTGCATTGAATCCAATCCACAAATCCAAAAAGTAATTATAATATCATCTGAATCCCAATATATTTGCATGCAAGAATAACTAATTTGTAATAGAACAGTTTCATATCTTAAGAATATATATCTGGCATTTGGCAATTAAAGAATAATGATGGAAAACGAGAAAGAGTGCCCAAAGTCAACTTTTAGAATTAAGGGGGAAAAAAATCACCGATGCATAAAAGACTTCTGGGCTTCACTCTCCAAATCGGCTATTTTATCTAACAGAGACTTCGATGTTCCTTTCCCATCTCCAGCATCCTTCTTCTGTGCAAAAAATAAATTGAAAGAGATGTATAATAAAATAAGATTAGGCCACAATATTCAGATAACAAGCTTTTGTACCTTCACAGAACCAGTGTTCAACTCAACATAAAAGTCTGACCCTCCGTTCTTTACCCATTTTTCACCAGACAAAAGAACAAATGGCATGCCCACAAAACTTTCATCTTCAATGGTGATTTCTAGTGATTGGACCTGAGATTAGTTTTTAGGAATAAATTATTCCTACAAAGCTCAATAATTTGAACCATAGCCTTATGATCTAGCCACAGAGAGAATATCAGAAATCTCATTTGCAGACCTTGTCAGGTTGATTATCGGTAGAAATGATAGCCAGTTTTGTTTCAGCAGCCTTGTCTAAAGAGACTGAATCAAGGGGCAACACAGTTGCAGGGGGTGCCTGTATAATATACATCCAGCCATCTTTTAAGTTCTTAGATTACAATAATATATAACGAGTTCTCCAGCTTTGTCTGGGGATAGATATTATTAAATAGCTTATAAACGTACTGTCCATTCTCCAGGTATTTTGGATAAAGCCCAGTGCAGTACAACAGGCTCTGGAAGATCTGTCGCCAGATAAACTTTTGTCTTGCCAGAGGACTTTGCGACAAGTACCTTCAGAATTCAAAAGGAGATTCATAAAATGTTCACTCAACTGCAAAACTTCCAAGTGAATTTTGACAAAATATTTCATGCTTACCAGGAGTTCCTTATCAGCAAGCTTATAAATTTTTTTGTTCACTATAGGACCATCAATGTGATCTTCCTTTTCTCTAGCAAACTGCTTAATTGCAGAGAGCACTGGCGGTTCTAAGGAGATTTTTTCCTCTACAGGGACAGAATCAAACTTACTGAGAAGCGACATGACGTCTCTTTTCTTGCGCTGAATTCTTTCTCCAGTAGAATAATTCTTTTTTTCCGGTTGCTTAGAAACCTTAGCTTGCGTCCCTCCTTTGGTTATCCTTTTCCGTATTTCATCAAGGGAAGCACCCTTATCTAGTTCAACTTGCAACTCTTTTCTTGCTTCTTCAAATTCTTTCTGTTAAATTGAATAAATTAAGATAAAAGGGCAGTAATGAACAAATATCAGAGGAGAGGACATATCCCTGAGTGTTCAGCAACAGTCAACATGCATTATGTGAGTTACATGCAGTGCAGTTTTCCTATCCTAATTACTTAACTAACTTCACAAAGCATATGCAAGATGTTGAAACTTACAAATTGCTGTTCTGGAGAATAATTTGGCTTCCCAGCTCTCTCCCATCTTATAAATGATTGTATTTGAACAAGATCCTCAGGTATAGAGCTCTTTGATCCAGAAACAAGTTGCTCTTTACTCTCACTTGTATCCTTTTTGCCCGTTAACTTTGTTCGAAGGTCCTGTATGGAAGCACCCCTAGAAATTTCTTCCAATAGCTCCCTTCGAGCTGCCTCAAACTCCTCCTGTTTAAAATATATGTTCAATTACCAAAAGCCATGTAAGTAACAATTTTTTTTTTTTTAAAGAGAGAGAAACAAAGACGAAATTTTTCAGATTATAATAAAATTATATAATTGTTTTAGCAAAAGATCAGAACATCAATCAAGTGGGAAAAAAACTTTTGAACCCTTTTGGCCATATTATCCAGGGCCAGAACCCTTAAACAAGCCAAAAATGATCTATTGATTAGACATTCATCAAAGCATAAGCAAATATTAAACAGTTTCTAAGCACTGATTGCTGACAAACTTCCCAATCGCAAGTGGTGCAATTCAATATACTAAAATGGGCATAAGACATTACGTCCATCATTTCTCATTATTAGAAAGCAGAAAATAGATAAATGACTGTTAAAGCAAAAAGACACCAAAAGCGTGTTGTGTATCAAACAGAAAAATATCAGATTAACTTGAGCAATCAAATATAGGAACTTGTACTCAACTTTCTTAACAAAAATAACTTACCTTCTCTTTTTCTGGGCTGTAATTCTGTTTTCCATTCCTCTCCCACCTCAAATATGCTTGTACTTGTACAAGTTCTTCAGGAATTGAAACATTTGGAGATCTTGATTCTCTCTTAGGCAATTTAACATGAAAATTACCCCCACTGTACTTATACCTGTGGAAATGAGAAGGATGGCTGCTAACGACATGTTTCAAAAGAATGGCTCGTAAGTTTTTAAACACAATGTTCATTACCATTTGTTCTGGGCTTCGTCAAAGACAAGAAACTCTAGGGCTTGTATTGATGGATCATCAATCTCTATCCTCAGTACAGCATTTGAACCAGACTAAGAAGAGATTACCAGATAAAAACATGCTGTCATGTAACGGGCATGTCACAAAGTAACTACTGAATTTATAAAATTCCCTTATGCCATGTTTGGAAATATTTCCAAGGGTGATTTTAATTTTGTTTTGGGAGTTGAGGTATTTTGGAAAAAGAATTTGAAAATAAGTAATGATTGTTTGTATTTTTGTGGAGAAAAAAATATTGGTACGAGTTTCGATAATTTTGGATTCTCAAATATCAAAATAATTTCAAATATTTCTTAAACAATTAATGCTACATGAATGCAATGAGAAAAGGCCAAAAGCGAATGGCAACCTTTCCACACATAGCATTATATTATTTGAACTTAAGCTCCAATTTGAAACTTACTTTCTCAAAAGGACTCCGAAGTGCTTGGTCCATATACACCGTAGTTCCAATTGGACGGTGGTGAGGAAGTATCCATTTTCTAACCAAAAAAAGAAATAGATAATGATAAATATTTGCGAGTTTGGTGAAAGATATCATTTGCCATTAACTAGATATCTTACACGAATTGAACTTACTTGGTATGACTTTTTATTGCTCCCCAGTGTAAAAGTAGGCTGTCAATTCCACTTGTAACTTGAATATTCACCACCGAAGTAGAACCTGAAGGAGGAAGCTCTACATCAACCTGTTCAGTTCCCATCATTTTAATGTTAGTATATGTGGTTTGCAGGATTATTCTCTCCATGTATATGGTTGTTTGAGATCCACTTGTACCCAAAATTCTCAAAATCAGTCTAACTATGGATACCTGTAATTCGACATTCTGATAGAGGTTGAACTTCTCCGTAAGCTGCCAGAAAATTAAAAAGTAAAAAATAGTAAATAAAACAATCAAACTAATTTACTTATCAATCACAGTCTATCCCTAGCGTAATCACCAATAGGTACGCTACAAGCTAAACTCACATACACACGTACACACAAAAAAGAAAAAAAATTACTAACTCAAAAGTTTTGTATTATTACCCCAGATGACGGATCGGCAGCTAAAACAGCCCGAGTTGATCTTGATCTTGAACTAGAACAACACTTTCCCATCTTTAATTTATGTCTCCGAACTTTCAGTCTGTTACCAAGGAACTCGGTTGATATAGAAGATTTCTGTGTCAGTGAAGTTGCTTGAGCCTGGAAAAAGGTATTGCCTCCAATGCAAGTCGAAGAATTGATTCGACCCTGGTGCTCTAATACTGTCGGATAAAGCAAACTCTGATGCAGCAAGTTATTCCCTATTGTGTTGCTCATGTTTTCTCAATCGTAAGACTAACTCTAGAAATCACAACCCAAAGTCAATATATATATATTGTCAAACAGAATACAGTTACGAAAAAATAAAAATAAAAAGGTACACCACTGCAGTTCAGAGACAGAAGTATAAAGAATTTAAAATATGTCCAACATACAGAGATATAACATCACATTTACACAATCACTCATTTTCAGTTCTTCATCCAAATTCACCAAACATATCACCATTTCAAGGAACATACATCACAGATCCGAGTTCGGGATCAATAAAATCACACAGAAACATAAACACAAACACGAGACAAAATTCTGACATTGTAGCAAAAAAAAAATCGAAAAAATTAAAATCAAAATTCAACTTAACCAGTTAACTCCGAGGACAACGGATGTCACATACAAAATACAGTAAAATGCTCTGTCATTCGAAAAAAAAAAAAAAAAAAAAACAGGTAATTCAATCATTTCAACATACACTTGGCATGCAATCGATCAGCTCCAAACAACTCCAGAGAAGAATTCAATCAAAGCGTAAAAACCCAGTAAGTCGAAAAATATCCAATTCCGCACAAATAACTCAATCAAAAGTAAAATTTACCTCGGGAAAACTACGACGAAGGTACAAATACGCAAATTAAATACGAAATTCTGGGGGAAATTGAAAGTTTAGGAAAATGTGAAGCTGTGATTGGAAGTGGAGAGTGGGGAAACGTACAGATGAAGGGGCCGGTGTTAATACGTTACTAATGATCATATTATCATGAACAATTGGGTGACGTGGCGAGATCAGAGAGGTACACGAGAAAATAAGGCAGTCCCGGTTTCGAGATTAGTCACGTGCTTAAGGCATGGGCCGTGGCGCGTGGGTCCGTGACTACCGACCTGCTTTGTTGGGTTTTGTTGGATATTTTCATACTCGCAGATTCTTTGGGGACTAATATGTAATAACTAATAATTTTTTTCATTTTTTCAATATTTTTTTATATATGTCGAAATTTAATGGATGACTAAGCAATATTCTTACCTAGGTGGTAATAAATGTGTGATTAGGGGTAAATTGCGCTTTGCACCCCAGATTTAACGGTGTTTGGCGTTGTGCACCCTAACATTTTCAAATTTGCTAAGTCCACCCTTATAATATATATCTCACGGCAAAATGCACACTACCTCAATTTCTTGCGATATGTTAGTCAGAAAAAATCAATATATTCCGATATTTAACACTTTGAAGCAATTTTTCATTGTTCTTTATGTTTTTTTTCTTGCTTACTATTATTTAATTATTTTATTTGTATATAAATTTTAGCTTAACTGGTATCGTAAATTCTTCTATTGTGGAATAAGATGGAAGTTCGAATTCTTTAAAATGTGCGCTGTAAAGTGTAATATATTTATAAGGTAAATTTTAAAAAATAAAATAATCATAATAATAGAGAAAAATTTGAGTGACTGAGATTTCTTGTTTATTTTTATTTTTTTATTTTTATTTTGAGAAAAGATTTCCTGTTGTTATTTGTGATATTTATTTAGGGGGTGATATTTTGATTCAAGTTCATGTGGTTCTCGCCACTAGAATATGTCGGCCCAATTTTGTCTGCATGCCTTCTTTTGCATGTAAGAAAGAATGAAACATACCTTACATGAGTGGACGTGGATGCATGACAATGATTTCGATGTATGTAATTATATTCACCGTTCATTCAGTTCTTCATAACGTAAATTTATTTAATATATAATCAAATAATTCTTTTTTTGTTGAGAAAAGATAATTGTTTTTTTCGTCCTTACCAAAAGTCTTGCTTCTGGTTTTGTGGTGATGTGTCGGAAACTGTATTGTTATCGATGTTCGATAGTTGCTTCATCCAAAGGTGTACAGATTTATTGGGTGGAGTTTTTGATTGAGTTCGATTCTGATGAATGTGTTATTTATATCTTTATAATGATTTAAGAAGAAGAAAAAAAAACAATGTACTATGTTGGTGAAAATTATTTCCGATGGATTTTTGTTGTTGATCTAAACATATTTTATAAATTTAACTAATATTAAAAATTTATAATTTATTGGTTTTTCAAATATTTGAATAACAAAATGTATATATTTGAAAAATTACTTATTAACATTAAATGAATTTATGTTAGTAAAGGCAATTAAAATTACTTGACGCACGTAATTCACCATATAAAATTGTTAACGTGCTATTAATACTCAATAAACCCTAATAAAGCGGGATGCCGGCCATTTTGTATACAAATACGAATATGAGTTAAAAATTAATTCTAATGTATGGCGGAATTTTAGAAGTAACACAACTGACGGAATCATCGGCTGATTTTCTATGAATTGATATGAATTTTAAAAGAATTTCTTAAAATAGTAAAATTTTGATTTTTATGAGTCGAAAAGACGTCGAATCATAGAAATCTTACGCGATTCATGAGCTACGATCATGAGTTTTGTTGGTCAGGGCGTTTGCTTAGAATAGGTTTGTTAACGTGCAAACAAACTAAAAAAAACCTTAGTAAGTTGGGAAAAATGACAATTTTGCTGCAAAAATGCGAAAATGAGTTGAACATAAATTCTATTAGATTCCGAAATATTAGAAACAACCCAACTGACAGAATCATCATTATATGTCTATATGAATTTTTAAAACTTTCATAAAATAGCAAAGTTTGATTTTTATGAGTTGAAACAAAGTCGGATCACCGAAATTTGACGCGATTCATGAGCCAAGCTCATGAATTTTGTTCGTCGAGCCGTTTTGCTTGGGAAAGAGTTGTTAATGTGCTATTAATACTCAAAAAACCCTAATAATCTGGGATGACGATTGACGACCATTTTGCAAAAAGATGGGAAAATGAGTTAAAAGCTAATTCTAATGTATCTCGGAATTTTAGAAGTAACACTCAGAATTTTAGAAGTAACACAACTGACGGAATCCCATCTGATGTTTCTATGAATTGATATAAATTTTATAAGAATTTTCTAAAAATAGTAATTTTGATTTTTATGAGTCGAAAAGATGTCGGATCACAGAAATCTTACGCGATTCATGAGCTACGGTCATGAGTTTTGTTGGTCACGCCGTTTGCTTGGGATAGGTTTGTTAACGTTGTATTAAAACCCAAAAAAAATTAATAAATTGGGAAAAACGATCATTTTGCCAAATCTGCGAAAATGAGTTAAAACCTAATCTTAATGAATCTCGAAATTCTAGAAACAATTTTACTGACAAAATCATCATGAGATGTTTCTATGAATTGGTAAAAGTTTGGGCCTTCTCTTAGGGGAAAATAAAATTTAGTTTTTGATCCATAATGATCATATAATTACTATTCGGGCCCAACTGAGGGACCCGATTCGATGGGGCTAAGATTCTGGTTCAGTGTTAGTGGTAGGGCTAAATCCCTCCGGTATCCACCGATTCGTAAAATTGGAACCCTAATAACAAAAATTGTCGAATTGCGTAATTGGGGATTAACTGATGACACGACGTCGTATTAAGTCAGCGAAACCCGGTGGATGAACTCGTCGGACACACGTCGCCGGTGAGTTTTTCTTAAGCTGAAAGATGCAATCCCTTGTGAATTTGAATTTGCCATTCGAAAGTTGGTTGTTTTATTTTTTATTTTTTTTTTGAAATCCCCTTTGAACATGATTTACAGCTTCCTAGGGCTTATACGTTGAGTAATTTGCAGAAATAATCCTACAAAAACATGTGATCCTTTTATTTTTTTAATTTTAGTCGAATATGCTGAAATGCGTGAATTTTGGTTTTCGAATCAAATGATTGCCCATCATAACACGCTGATTCTTCACATTGTTATCGTCTAGAATTCACTTATACTGCTGGAATTTATCTTCTAAAACTCGAAAAGTTACCTTAGAGTTAAGCTGGTTAAAGAATTTCAAATGTGTAGTTATGATTGCCCATCATTGAGAGAGAGAGACAGAGCATATAGTAGTATTGTGTTTTGCTTTGTGAGGGTATTTTGGGGAATCTAGAATTCATAAATACTGCCGGAATTATATCTCAATTTTCGAAATAGTTACGGATTGCTAAACGAAGATTTGAGTTTTGTCTTGAGTTTTGTACATCATAAACAGATAGAATGTTATACAAACAAAAGGGATACATACACATTAACAGCAGGGGACTTGAACCAATACAAATAAAACAAAACAAAACACAACAAAATACAGATATTTGTCACAGTACGTTCTTCTTCACACCAAACCAAATCAACAGAATATTTAATCTCTTCATGCAATCAACACTTTGCAGAAATTCTTAAAAGAAAAGCAGGCCGACGAAATACTCATTTGTGTGTATCCGGAGACTCTGTTATTCCAACTCTTCTTCCGCCTTCGTGTCTGCTGTTTTCCGAGAACTTTAAGCTAGCCTTGTGGAAACCTTTTTCCTTCTCGGCTTCGCTCCATTCAGAAAGGTAATAATCTTCCTCTGTTTTCCCCTTTGATGGTTTGGTGAACATTCCACCCCATTGCGGGAAGTGTATCAACGTAATTACGGATGTGCATGCTATTATCATCACCCCCATTAGCATTATACCTTTTTCTGTAGTGTATCTCGATCCTCGGAAGAATATTACTTGTGTAATAACTGCTCCCACGTTTCCACCTGCTCCCGTCATCCCGGATATAATTCCCAATGACCTGGTAATAACAACAATATATCATCAAACAAGTTTATATTATTATATGATAAAATGTTAGTCAACCGATAGACAGACAAAAATCGTACCTTCTTGAAACGAAAGGAACAACCCCGAAAGTAAGTCCACAAGCAGCTTGAACGAAAACCGAAAATATGAGCATCACAGCGACTGACACACCCAATGTTCCGACTTTCCCCAAAATAATACAGAATATTCCTCCCAAAGTCTGCACTGACCAAAGTGCCCACAGCCTACCTCTCATTCCGTACCTCCTTGCAACAATATCTGACAGCATACCTCCTCCTGGTCTCGAGAAGAAATTCGCCAAACCGAAACTGGCAGCAATGATTCCAGCTGTGTGAAGGCTCACGTTGAATCTATCGTAAAAGTACTGCGCGATTATGTTGTCTATCGCGAGTTCAACTCCGAAGCAATACCCGTAAGTCAAAGCCAAGATCCACCCTCTGTAGTTTGTGACGGCGTGATACAGAACCTTGCTGAATTTGTCTTTGTGCTTGTCTCCCGATTTGTGGAGCTGGGCGTAGTTTCCGTCTGGCAAATCTTGGCCCAGAAAGAAAATCCCGTACGCGCACAGCATCTGAAACAGGCCAGGGATGAAAAACGCGATCCTCCAGGCCGTGAATTTGTCGGAACCCATTTTCAAGATGAGTTCGAATCCTATGGGCATGATCAGCTGCGTCGCACCCCCACCGAGGTTTCCCCATCCTCCCGCAACACCGTTTGCTGTTCCGACGACCGGAGCGGAAAACAAGGAGCTCATCCAGAACTGCGTGGACACAAAAGTTGCGAGTGAGAAACCGGTGAAGAATCGGACGAGGAGGAAAGTGGTAGGACCGCTGGCGATGGAGCTGCAGTAGACCGCCGGAGCAGTCAGCAGTGTCAGGGCGGCGGAAGCTAGACGGGGCCCGAATAGATCGCAGGCCGACCCCATTGCCACCCTGGCAAACACCGCACCGGAGACCGCTGCTATTCCCGCGTTTCCAATTTCTGTAGCCGTGAGATCGAGATCGTCTCGGATGATTGGAAGCAAAGGCGGGGCCGCAAAAGTGGAGACGAAGCAGGCGAAGAAGGAAATCCAGGACAGGTGGAATGC